GATTCATCGACGCCGTCGGATGATAAGTGACTCAGCGACTCTCTCTCATGTCTGATTGCTTGGCGGTGACGTGTGACCCCCCTCTCATATGTGGTTGATTGGCGCTATGAGACTTCGATTGATTACAGTATTTATCAATCCACGATCGATTGATTGATTGGGTGACGGACTGATTTGGTCATTGCTTGATTCACTACCTAGTCGAAGAATCGATTTTCAATCAATCCAATCAGCCAATCAAGTCGATCGATCAAATCACTCAAGTAAGCAATTACAACAAATTTTTCGAGGATCGTTCTGTGCAATCTTGGAACTCATTCATAAGCATTCATCGTCAACAGCCAATCAACGGTCCAGATGACGGCCCTATCAGAGATAGCGAATCAGCATTTGCGCGAGTTAGAACGCGTGAGGAAGGAGCAAGATGCAGTGATCAAGAAGATTAACAAAATCCATTCGAAGCTATGCCTCACGGATCCGGAGAAAGCAGAGAGGTTTGGGGAAAAGTTATGGGTCAGGCTGCGGGACTTTTACGAAGAAGCGAAGGAATTGGCAATGAAAGAAGACTATATATCGGGTCTATGCATCAAGGAGGTGGAGTCGCTCTCCCACACTTCTGTAGCGCCGCCGCCGGCAGCTCCACCTCCACCTCCACCTCCTCCTCCTCCTCCTCATCCATCCGCTCCTCCCTCTACTCTACCCCTCCCAATTCCCTCGTCGACTCTACCCTCCTCCGCCGCCAATCAGTCCTCCTCGGTCCATCATCATCCCCAGCAAGCCAACTCCCAGCCATCGCGCAAGAAGTCCGCCGCAGCCATGGCGGCAAGCGCATCCTCCGAGTCCAAGCGGAAGAAATTGAAGATGGTAATGACAGCATCAGCGTCAGCATCAGCAGCAGCAGGAGGAGGAGGAGGAGGAGGAGGAGGAGGAGAAATGGGCGAAACGGTGATGATGGGAGGGAGCGGAGGGGTAGTCCCTCGTCTAGCCTCTCCATCGTCACTTTCCCCCCGTGTTACTGGCACTAGTACTACTTATCACCATCCTCAGCACTACCACCCTCAGCATTATCAGCAGCAGCAACATCATCATCATCATCATCATCATCATCCTCAACAGCACCAGCAGCAGCCATCGTCATCATCCATGGAGCAGGCCGCCATCGCTGTCGGAGATCAAGTTGCCGCTAGGGTTACTGATGACAATGCTGAAAAGGATGATTGGATTGTCGTGAAAGTGACCAAGTACGACAGAGAGAGCAATCGCTACGAAGTGATTGATGAAGAGCCCGGTGATGACGAAGAGTCAGGCCAACGCAAGTACAAGCTCGCCGCATCTTGTATTATACCATTCCCAAAGAAGGGAGGAGATCAAAGCCAAACGGCGGAGTTTTATACCGGAGCGCAGGTGCTGGCTGTGTATCCGGGGACAACAGCACTGTACAAAGCGGCAGTCGTTCGCAAAAGAAAGGGGGATGATTACTTGTTAGAATTTGATGACGACGAGGAGGAAGGGGTGGACGGTCTGCCCCAGCGATCCGTACCTTTCTACCACACCGTGCCCCTCCCTGAGGGACATAGGCAATGATTAGACTGCCAGGTGATTGGCGTTTCGTATAGAACAGGTAGTTGATTGCTTTGCCTTGCGGCAGTAGGTGGTAAAAGAGAGGGAGGAGGAGAGGAGGAGGGGGAAGGGGGAAGGGGTGGGCGGTCTCTCCCCCAATGATTAGACTGCCAGATGCTTACTTACTAATTTGACGAGGAGGAGGAGGAGGAGGAGGAGGAGGAGGAGGAAGGGGGAAGGGGTGGGCGGTCTCTCCCCCAATGATCCGTACCTTTCTGCCACACCGTGCCCCTGCGTGAGGGACTTAGGCAATGATTGGACAGGTGAACAGGTGGATGGCTCTTCGTATAGACAAATTAATTAGTTGATTGCTTTCCCTTCCTCTGCTTCGTTGAGTCCGAGTCTCCCTTCCTGATATGCAAGGGAGGAGGAAGGGGGGGTGGCCGGTCTCCACCAGCGGCGACGCGTCCTCTGGGCGCTTTTTACTTCTCTTGAATGGATCCGTTTGCTTCTGTGCTCGGTTTGTGATCGTGTTCATCAACGGCCGGCAAATGCCACGTGGACGGTATAGATGATCAGTGCGCACACGAGGAGTTCGTCATTTTGCGTCAGGGTACTCGCGGCGTCTGAATGCGAGCGTGAATTGCGGTCAGATGCACAATTAAAGTGCTTGCGTGAGTCCGTGCGCTGCTTGCCGCGTGGGATGCCGTGGCAATTGGGTGTCGGAATCCCGGAGGTGACAGTGGAGTGGGTGGCACAAAGAGAGAGAGAGAGAGAGAGAGAGAGAGAGAGAGAGAGAGAGAGAGAGAGAGAGAGAGAGAGAGAGAGAGAGAGAGAGAGAGAGAG